GTAGAGAACAACGCCTATACGTGTACTATACCGCTTAATACATGTCGTCGGCGCTTATTACACTTTAGCTAATATCGAATCGATCTGTCTTAGCACCGTAAGGGTAGACCAACTGTTTATCGACCGGCTTCTCCGTAATAGTTATAACTCTTCGGGTATACTACCCGGTCGCTTCGGACCGTACAAATAATGTCTAACCATTCGCATACACATCCGTATATAGCGTCGACTAGCGCTATATAATATGTCTCTACGAAACATTACATATCTCTAATACTAGCGACTCGGGACTAACTACAATAGCCCTATTAAAACAGGCTACAGACCTAATGTAGTCGATAAGAAAGGAGTATAGAAAGGTACGGTATCTCTGCTATCCTAAACGCGTACTTAAGAAGGATAAGAACGAGGCAAGATAAGAAGTCGTAACACCTCCCCCCTTCTCTCCCGGCGTTCGCCTCCTATATTATAGTCTATTAACCTCCATAAGCTAGGACCGAGCTCTATTACTAGCGAGGGCAGTACTTAAGTCGTCTACTTTATATCTCTAGCGGCGACTCTAAAATCTGCGGCTTCGATAAACATGTTCCCTAAAAAGGCACCTCTAGGCTATTATAGGCCTATAGCTACCGACACAATTAGATTTAAACGAAAGCGAGTGCGTGTAAAGTAGGCAAGTTAGTTCTCCTAAGAGTAAGATGTCTWTCTAATCTCGTATTAGGCGTATAAGGAATGTCGTATTCGTGAACAAAAGTGCGAGAGGCTTAGTAATAGCGAACAATGTTCGTTCTACGAATGCTTTAGTCTTAAATGCGACCGCTAACATACAACTTTAACAACGTATATAATACCTCCCTACCGTATATTTATTAAAATCGGCTGACTTTTCCTAGGACCGCGCAATAACTAAAACGGCTGTTAGAGTGCGTAGACGCCTATACCGCTAAAGAACAAGAGCTTACCGCTAAGGTCGATACCTTAGAACGGGAAATTCATAGACTCCGCTCTAGCTAATAAGAGACTCTACTATTCTCCTCTTTCTAATAACACGAAGCTACTCGCGTTAACGGTAATAGCGACGTTAGCGTTATAGGATCTATAGTAGTAGGGACGAATCTAGAGGAGTCCGCTAGCCCGGAAGCGTCTAGATTAAATAGTTAAAGTTTAGAGCGATAGGATTCTCTCCGGCGATAGCCTTCTATCTATACGCTTCTAGAGAAAGCCTCCATCGATAGTAACGATTACTACCCGATAAAGACGTAAGATAGGAATGTTCTTTTCGTATAGACTTTCGCCTAAGGCACTCGAAGAGATAGCCCCACTTACTTCTAAAGCGGCCCTAGTCCGAGTCTGTTCGTCGATAACCCTCCGGTAAGCGGGTTCTAGTTTATAACGGTTATCGACATTCGCTAGTCCGTACGTGCCGATAGCGTCGATCTAGATCCTACTACGATTAACATCCTATACGATAGTTATATACGAAATTTCTACAGCATATACCTATTCCTATATAAGAGATAAGTCCGTAAGATAGTCGACGAATACATTAGAAAGTACAGCTTAGTATATCCGTTTAGTAGTAAATGCTTAGAGCGATCTCCGAGTAACTACATTATCTACCTAATCTTAGCGCTAGGGAGAATCTCCTTATAGTAGGATTCTAGAGGAGGCGAAGACGAAGCCTATACGAGCAGTATGCTAATCTCCGGAATTACACTATACTATACCGAGGCGGTAGAGATACTTCGCGAGTAGTAGGGTAGTAACGATCTGCTCTATATATAGATGTTTCTCCTCGCGGGGCTATATAAAGACTAATTAGCCCGTGTAGAGGAGAGCATAATTTAGATAAGAAAGGCCGAGAGTGTTATCCTTACACTACTCGAGTAGTATAACCTATACGATTATAAATATTAGGACAGCTCGGACGATACCCGTACGCGGGTTAAAGCTAGCCGGGCGCGGATTAAAGATCCGCGTTAACGTCTTATCGTTTTAGCTTCGTAGTGTTACCTATAGCTTAAAAGCGATATTCTTGCAAACCGGAAGCTGCTAGTAAGCGGCATCTAGCGAATTTTCAATTCGCTATGCCTACCTAATGTGCCTGAATATAGGGATGGATCCGGCGATAGCATAATTTTAATTATAGCTTAGATCTAGCTACGACGACTACTCGACAAGGTCTATCGACAGATATCCGGACCTAATTTCCTCCGCTAGTTATTCTTATAAGTGTAGGAAATGCTATAGGGGCAGAATTCCGCACTCGCTTTATAGAGATCCTGTCTTCCTCTAACGCTTCTTTAGTAAGACGACGATCTACTACCCTCGAACATACTAAAGGCTAGGCTCCGCGAAATGTACTAGGTAGCGTAGTATCTTATTTCTCGGTATTATCTAGACTACGCCCTCTATATAATGTCTAAAGTTATACGCGGCGCTACCGTTAAGCACGTTACTCGAGATAGCTATAGGAACCCGCGGGACAAGTACGATGTCTATATCTTTAAGGCCATCTAGTATATAAACGAGGAAAATGTGTGGCGAGCGTCACGGCAGTATGTCTATATAGCGATAAAAAGTATAGCCGCGTTTAACGGCGTTCTAGGACGATTAATTGTTACTAACATTTAAGGCACTACCTAGGCGTAAGTTTTAGCAACACGTAACTATAATACAGTCGAATTAACAACAAGCAGCTAGTTTAAAAACATACTTGTGCTTACCGCCGTTTTTAAATTAGACTATTTAAAGACCCTTATGCCCGAGGAGGAATATCGCAGCCTTCTAACGCGCACCGTCGCTTTTCTACGCCGATTAGCACCGATATCTCGGGCGTGTTCGGAGGCTTGCGAGATACTAAACAAACTTAGCGCCTGGTTTCGCATAATAGAGGTAGAGATGGATTCCGATTGCTATAACAGCCCTATAAGAAGCATAGGAAGTGTCTAAACTAGTAATAGTTCAAGTCTATAAGCCTACGGCCTAGTAGAATTTAGCTTCTTACCGGCGGCCCTAAGTAACTACTCGTAGTCTAGGTATCCTTCTAAGGATAGCGGCCTAAGAACGAACGACGAACGGGCTAAGGGGAAAGTATGCGATAACTATTTTCTCTAGTCCTTAAAGGTAGCGTTGTATTGCTTTTCCAGCTTTAAATATGTAGTCTAACATTAGTGTCCTTTAGTATAGCGTTATGCCGTATAAGAATTATAGGCGCGATAGTTACGTATATACATATAATCGGCCGCCTATCTAAGGAAAAGGTCGTACCTTAACGTGCCGGTAGTCTACGTGCAATTTGTCTTATAAAGAGTCCGCGTAGATAAACCGATATGTGGGGAGGCACCTTTTACGACTAAGTCGCGTAGAGGGAGGGCCTTCCTCCTAAGGATACCGATGCCTCTAGGCCGGCTATAACGCATATAACGAGACTCGTAGTAGCCTATAGTACTACCTCGCTGCCTATATCCTTATAGAGCATTCGCTATAGAGCTAGCTATAAGGCTAGTCTCTCGCATCGCGTAGTTAGTAGTAGAAAGCGCGAACAAAAGTAGCTAAGGACTATAGTTTAGCTTGAAGTCTTCCTTACGAGCAAGTATAATAGAGTTCTAAGGACACATACCGTAATTATTAACAAGTGTACTACGAGATATATATTCGGTAGTTAATAAGGGCGAAGACAGTTCGGACGCTATAATCGCCGTAATAAGGAGCCCTATAGCTACGAAACAGAGGATATAACGTTTTAATATTAGCAGAGATTTCCTATAGCATCGATTATACGAGAGGTCTTTCGCAAATATTATAGTAGCATCTATGTTTTAATAAGCAATATCGTTAGAGGATCCTTACTAGGATGCAAAATCTTAATTGTCGTGTCTACGAGCTTACGTATAACCGCACTTAGTTAACAATTTACTAGGGTAACATTCTATAAGGAGTACTAGCTTAGGTCCTAGTCCCTCCGAAGGGATGTACCGATAAATACTCCCGCGACGTACCGCTTAGCGCGGTAAATGCGTTCTACGCGCGGTCGAGTAATAACTGTCCTATATTAGTATAGTACTACGCTATCTAAGGGAATGTTTTAACTGTCTAGGCGCATAGATATACACTTTATYAGTTAGGCTGCTCTATATCGAGTTGCCGAAATCTAGTATCCTAACCTTCGTACGACATGTTCGATCTTTAGGTAGTAATGTTATAGGAAGGCCTACTAATAACTTTGTAGAGGGCTTTTTTTACGGTCGTCCTCTTACCGGCCTAACGCTTATCGTAAGGCGGAAGGTTCGAGCGTAGAACTAACCGACAAAGCTCTTAGTAGTAGACTTAGATTAGAGTAGGAGGTTTCTATCCCGTAGCGGACTACGCTTAAAAAACAGAGGAGCTATAATCTAGAGATAACGAGATCGAGGAGGTATAAGGAAGAGCGKGGACGGACTAGAAAAGCCGGATAAGAGTTAAGACGGAGACGATCTTCGTAGCATAGGTAGGGAGCTATATCGAAGCTGTCCGAGTTATATACCTTTTCTATACGGAATTTTGTAACGGACTACTAGCTTCGTGTGCCGGCGAAACGGACATATATTCTTAGAACGGTTACATAATTAGCTAATAGTAAATATTCAAACAACGTAACAGCACATTAGTTTAATTAAAGATTAGGATTTAGTAAAAGTGTTAGAACTAGTACTATATAATATCTCTACGAAAATTTGCATTTCTCTAATACTAGCGACTCGGAGCTATAATAATCCTATTAGAGAAAGCTATAGGCCTAATGTAGTCGATAGAGAAAGGCGAGTAGGGGTAGCACGGTCGCCTCCCTATCGAAATTGTTTAATTTAAGGCAACATAAATTGTTCTATTAGAGATCTAGTCTAACTACGGACTACGTATCTAACGTTTAATATAAGAAGTGAAGGAATAAGAAGATATAACAGCATTACATTTCACGTAGCGCCTTTAAGCTTATAATTATTATATACCTATAGCACGATATGCTCGCCTTAGTCTATTTTAAGGCCGATAATGTTCTCTTTATTATTCTGTTCGGCGTAGCGCAGCAGTCTATTACTACCGAGCTTAGTAATCTAGATATATTATCTCTCGGCATCGTGTTCATTTATATTACCGACATGGATTTTACGCAACTTACATCGACTATACGTAACGATGTCTCGAGTCTTAGTCTCGGGCCGTACTACGGCTACGTACGACCCTACCCTTGTAGTCTATATCCGACGTTGTTTCTAGATAACGGAGAAAACTATCTCTAGACAATCGGTATAGCGGTCTTAGATTATCTAAGATTTTCCCCTTAGTAGTCGACTGCTTTTATAATTAATCTTAGCGCGACCCTCGGCGATCTTATATCTTACGTAGGGAGTAACGGTTAAACAGCACCTTACCTATATAGTAAGAAGTCCAAAAACGCCTAAAAATTTTAGCCGGCTTAACACCTAAGCATCTAGCGGCAGACATACGTCGAATTTATTATGCTATTATAGATAGCGGCCGATAAGCAGGGAAATAAGCTACAATTAGTAGAGGTAGTACTACGCGATAAGGATAATAGAGTGCCCCTAATATGTTACTTCGCGGGTGCGAATAAACTAGTACCGTAGTTAGAGAAGTAGATATCGCTAGAATCTAAGGTGCTTAGAGTGAAAGATCTTTATTCTCTAGTTACGGAGACTCTAGGTCTAAGGACGCTACTAAACTTACTATTTGGAAATACGGAAGGACAAGACTTAGCTTCGAAGAAACGGAAAGTAGATGTAGAGTATTACTCGTCGTCCTTCTATAGTATAGGTAATGTAATAGGAGAAGAGCAGGTGATTTTATAAAGAAGGATAGTTGTCTCGTGTACGATATTCACTTTATATAATTAGTTTAAATAAACAGAGGGTGTAAGGCCGAGGAATCTCCCTCTAACGACTAACTTAATATATAAGCTAATTGTAACACGTCGTAAGGAGATTAAATATTTACGGTAGATAGAATGTCCTAACTAAGAGTGCTAGTCCTAACCCCTACTATATATACTATAACTAAACTAATAACAAGTAGACAGTTTGGAAATATGCTTTTGCTTACCGCCGTTCTTACGTCCTATTAACTAAGGTTCCTCCTACACATCCTCCTAGAAAGTACTATCGTCTCTCTACGTCTACTTAAACCGGCTTCTCCGATATACTCGATCGATTACGAGATACTCGTAAAACTTAATAGCACTTATTTTCCTCTCGAGACAAGTGGATTAGAGTGACCTTATAAAGCGAACTAGAGGCGAAGAACGCTAGGTTAGTACTAGTCCGAGTCGATAATCTTATAGTTCTACGAAGACTATGTTCCTATCGACGCTTACCTACTGCTCGACGTCTCCGAATTCCTCTAGTAGTAGTAGCAGGGACCTAGAAAAGAAATGCAATAATAGTTAGGGAAGGGAACTTGCACGCAAAGGAATAGGTAAAGCATACGACCGTTATTTCGTCGGGTTAGTAAAGGTAGTGCTGTATTACTTCGCGACTCTTACGCCTGCGATCTAACTTTAGTACCCTATAGTGCATCGGTATGCCGTATTTCAACTACATAGCGAAAGATCAAGCATGCACATATAATCGTTACTCTATTAAGGGAGGTCTCGGTTAGGGTGCCGCTAGTCTAGTTGTAGCAGGTCTTTTACCTACTCCGATTAGTTAGGCCGATATAAGGGCCGACACATTCTAGATAACGGTTCTACAGATAGGGAACCTTTTCCTAGATAATACCGATGCCTTTAGCCTAGATATGTTTAGTCTAGCGAGACTCGAAGAGGCTTATAGAGTTATCTAGAGGATTATTCCTCGAAGGGCTCTTAGTTCCATTCCTTTAATCTCGCTACGAATCGATTTACTTTTTCGAAGAAATAGATAGGAGATACCTTAGCGTCCCCGTTAAGAAGTACTACCTCTGCTAAACGCCTCTTATCTCGCTGCTTCTCCCTACCGTCTGCAACAATATAATAAATTCGGCGTAGGTTTAATATAGAATGCTTAGGTGCCGAACCGGCATAAATTTAAGATCGCATATAGATTCTTGCTTAACGAGCCGGTCCCTTCTTACGTAGGAGATAAGATAGTAGAGCGTTACGCTAAGATTTTCTCGGAAAACACTCTCTTCGTAAGGCTAAAACTATTAAAGACTAGATACTACTAAGGCGATTATAAGAATGTAGTTGCCTTAGTTGCTAATAGGGAAAAGCACTAGACGTAAATAACGAGGCTTAACACGCAGAAAGCCGCGGTCTAGTCTAAGGCTAAGATGCGATAAGTTTTTAAATATAATTAACGCGAGGTCCTATTAATCCATGTCCGTAATGTAAATACAAACGACACCGAGGGACGATAAATCCAGATAGCGGAGCTCTACGGCAATAAACTGCTGTATTAAGCCGAATAGAATAATATACAGGACCTTATCGACCTAGAAGGAGATTACGAAGAGCATCTTAGCCTAGGGTAAGGTTTAGTAGGAGTCGACCTTAAAGAGTAGGGATTTCTATAGCCTTAGTTATATACGTTGTAGCTCTCGCGGTATAACTAGTGTGCTTTAAAGTAAGATGTATGTTGCCTAATGTATTTAACTCTTAGCAAGCTTACTACGCAGCTCTATAACTGTAGTATAGCTTTCTATATCTACGTTCGCTAAGAGTAGCGTAGATTAGCAAGGTTAGACCGCTATCTCGGGGCAATACTAATTCTGCATTACTAAGCACTGCTACTTAAGGAATTTGTTCGAAGGTAGATAGGAGTTTCGTAGGTACATAAGAGCCGGAATCTTAATCTAGCATAGTAAGAGCAGCATTATTAAGCTGCAAGTTTCTAGTGTATCGAAGCGATTAAGAAAGAACGTTTTACGCCGACTTAGGCCTCCTTCCGGTCCTTCGGAGAGATTCTACAATCTAGCTATACTTTCGTAGGCTCTAGATAGACGAATATAGAGCAATTATGTTCTTAGCTAACGCTTTAGATAAGGGAAAGCTCGCTAATATAATTTCAGTTGCAACCTATACTAATAGTAGCCGTTAGGATATGCTCTTTAGTATATGTTAAGGACGAGAGTAGTATATAAATGTCACACTTTCGTACATTAACATTATTAAAAGAGTCTATAAAGCTCCGTGTACACGAAATGGATAACGGTTTTATTATCCGATTATAACTCGTATACACTAGTACTAACTGCACTAACGCGTAATTAGCTAAGTTGTGTCGTTAGCTCCTTAATATGCCTACCGGACTTTAGCTCCACACAAGTCTTTATAGTTATAACCTTAACAACTCCTTCTCTTTTAATACATCGCTACTTAGTCGGAATAACGTCCCCTTCTACCGAAAATTCCTATAGTAAAGCGGTAGTTCCTGTTCCTTATTCGAGATTGTACTCTGTCTAATAAGAAGTTCCTAGTAATAACGTCGTTAGACTAATTACATCGTCCAATTCCCGGTCGGTAAGGAAGGTAGCTAGTTCTAGTAGGAATTACTCCTTCGGCGCTATAGTTTACGTGTGCGAAAACTTAACGGGAATAGTCTTTCTAGCGACAAGGCTGTAGGCATAAGGATAAAGAGGGCGATCTCTAAGAGCCTCCTCTATATAAAGAATCGTATCGGGTTCCGGTTTATAGTAGACTATAATATGTCTGCGCTATAGCTCGATATAGCGGTATAGGAGAGTAATCCTAAAGATATCCTGCTCTTTATATCTGTAGAAGATCGCTATAATAGCGAGAAGGGTCTACTCGTCGATCGTATGTCGTTACTACTTAAATGTTCTTAAAGAATTATACTAGCGATAGTAGTCGACGAGGGAAAATTCATCGGAACTTAAGAAGGACATAATTGCCGCGGGCAGGCAAAGATTGCGTATAGGAAAGACGTAGGCCGATAGCAAACTACGATGTTATATAGTACGACCCCGCGCTAAGTGCTTTCGTAGCACTACGTAATATGTTTAGGTAGTAAGAAATAAACGTCTACCGTAGTTAATAGCATAGAAGAAGCACTTAGCCTAAGGCCTAAACTACGGCATTAGCTAGCGTTATTAATAAATACAGTTAGTATATATAGTCTTATAGTACAGGTATCGAAAGTCGGGATCTCCGCGTATACGTCTAGACACTATCGTATATAGCGTGTCTCGCCTACATTTCTAGCCGCGAGCGAGGCTAGCTATTAGTTAGATATAGAGAGCAAAGAAAAGACTAATACCTCTACTAGTAGAGGGTTGCATTACGATCTTAGCACCTTCTTTACATACCTAGTAACCCTTCTATAAAGTTATAAAAAACCCATTCCGAGGGCTAAGATCTTCGAGTGCTACAAATATTACAGCCTAAGGCAAATCTTCCTCCGTAGCGAAGCTACTAAGGACAGGTTTCCACTCGTCGCCCTCGGCAGGCTTTAGCCTAAAGATGTACTACGCTCGAAGTAAGTCGTTCGTCGATCGTTAAGGATCTCTTCGTCTTCGTACGATATCTTCGACTTTTACTAGGTAGGTATCGCTCTAATAACGAGTAGGTTAGTAATAATATAGGCGAAATAGGGGAAGAAACGTTAGCGACGAACTATTAACTAAGAAAGCGCAATTCGCTCTACCTTCTAGTTCTAATCCTCCCTTTCTAGTATTTTATAGGCGAAAGGCTCTTTCGGATATAAATCGTATATCTTATAAGGCTAAGCTCCTACGGCGAATTGTAACATGCCCTCGGAGTCGAGCACATTACCGAACTCGCTATACGAAGACTCGATAGCTAAAGTCAATTCTCTCCTAATATTACGTCTAGCGTTTAAAACGGAGGCGAAAGTTTTACTAGCGGACGGAGTTGCTCTGCCCGCTTTTGCGCTAGTGTTAAAGAATCGCTATAGATTAATGCGATCGCCTAGAACCTCCGTGTTTCTATAGCTAAGAATTCTGCCGATAGTTTATACACTAGGCATGTTAAAATTCGTCTAGAGCTTCACGACGCTAGAAACGATAGACCTAACTACTTTATTTAGCATATAATAAACGATACTAGGAATAAACACTTTAGTCCAATCTTCTTCTACGTTAGATACGAGAATGGAGTTCAAACCGGTCTAAAGATACTCTAGGCTCTTAGTTCGTAACTATTTTAAGCGACCTAGACGGAAAAAGGACGTAACGGGCGACTTCCCTATAGAACTATTAGCTAACGACGCCTTTAGAAAACGTAACACGTACATATTAAAAGAAGCTTACTAGCATGCTTGCCTAGTCTGCTAGCGCTAAGACTATTAATAAGACTGTTTACGAAGTAGGTAGTTTGTAGTATCTAGCGGTAATAGTCGTCCGATACTTCACACGTGCTGTTTATACAGATTTTGGCGATTACGTATACGGTTTCCCGTAGAATAATGTCCTCTGCTAGTAGTACGGCGCATAATAATAGGGTAATAAATTGTTAGAAAACAGCTAGGCTACGGGCAACGCGAGCGGAGTTTTCAAGTCGTACTACAGCCTTAGCGAATATAATTAAACGCTCTACTAACGTATCGGCTTGCGTCTATAATAGATCGGGTTCCGAAATAGGTGAGGGATTTTTTAAACCGGTCCTATCTAGTAG